AAAAATCCGTTTCATAGATCCCAAGATATTTACAATTTTTTATCAAGAAACAAAGAAAAATTAATTTAATTCTGCTAATTTTGCATATTTTCACGTGTAAATACACAAAATTACTTGTAATTTAAACTTCACACTTCAAAAAATATTAAATCATAAACTATTTAAGATTTAAACCCCCAAAAATTTAAAATTATAACTTATAACTGATAAAATATGAGTTGGGTTGTAAGAAGCGTTATTTATGTCGGGATGTAGAGTGGAAAAAATATTGAATATGTGCCAAGCAGTGCGGAGTCGAAAGTCCTTCGTCCTTGATCGTTTGTAAAAGATTCATACTAAAAGCTCGCGTTGGATATAAACCCCAAAATATCTTATTTATTGTTATAAATTACCAGAAATCGAAAATATTTCTGTTTTTGTTTGTTATTAGTATTATTAGCAGTTCTGTGATAAATTGGCCGCTGTAGACGCATAAATATAATTGATTAATGATAAATGGTGTTATATCGAAAGGCAATTAGCAATTTAATTACATGAATGCGTGTTTTTAGTGGTACATTTATTATTGATTCGATTATGTGCAATTACAATAAATCAAAATTATGCAAAACGCAAAATTTACGCAAATTTGTAGGTTTTTGTGAATTTTTTTGCTGTTTTAGGGAAGTTTTTGTTGTAATAAAAAGGTTTTTATATTAAATATAAATAAAAGGTGAATGGGTCTAAAGGAATTTGTTTAGAAAAATTATAAAACCTAATAAACCTAAAAGATACAGGGTGTTTTTTGTGCAAAATCAAAAATTTTTACAATTTTTTTGATACAAACTCAATTTAAGGGTTCGTTTTGAATAATTTTTGTAATTTTTTCTAGGAAAACAAATAAAGAGTTAACTAAACTATCATAATTTGTTGAAAACTATAATCTAACATTATTATTTGTTGAAATACAGCGTGTTCTTTAAGAAAAATCGAATATTTTCATTCAATTATACTTTTAAAAGCAATTTCAAAGCTGTTTTCATTAAATAAATACCATTTTCTATCTCAAAACATTATACCACATCATAAAACTATAAAAATCTGTCAAAAAATTTCAATTATCTCTATTTGTTTATAAATTATAAGCAAAAATGTCCCGAAATTATCTAAAAATTTGCCTTTTAACGTCCCAATTCGCGTTGAACTGAAGTTGAACCCCGGATAAAATGACAAAATGACAAACCCTGAAGACGTCAGACGACAAAACGACAAAACGCAAACCTCCAACCGCCGCGCGCAATGCACCCCGCAGGCAAACACTAAAATATACCCTTATATTCGCCGCTGAGGGTTCGCAAACTGCCAAAAACGAACGAGACGCAGAAACATCTAAAAGTCTCGGCAATCGTCGAGACCGGCTACACAGTGCGGCGCAGCGCAAAGCGAATAAATGTCTCGTTTAAGGGTTGTGCGAGAGGGCTGGCGAGGGTTATGAATAACGCATGATATAACATGATGCGTCGCGTCACACACGATGACATCGAATTTGCAACCGACCTCCTCATCAAATCCAAAGAAAAAAACAAACACAAAAATATACAAACACGAAGGTAAATTTCAATAAAATAAGGTTAACTTATTAAGAAACTTTTTCGCAAGACAAATATTAAAGTCTGAATTGAAGAAAATTGCAGTTGAAAGGAAATAAGATGGGGAAAAAAGTTTTCATTGTCTGATTCTGTATGAAAATGAATCGTTGAATCGCGGTGCACATTCGTACGAGTAGAGTGCAGCTGCTACCCGACGTAGAACGGAATAAGAACATTGCGAGCCCTAAAAACAAAGCCTGCACCGGTCTCAAGGGGCTAGATTTCAAGAAAATAAATCCGGAAGTAGGAAATCTAGCTGTTGCCTTAAATTCAAATCATTGCGATGTGAAAAATGTTATTTTTTGCGGCGTTTTATTCGCGTGTTTTCATAGAATGATAAAAATTCAAACTTTAACAATTGGTTTCGGGCAAGTGGAAAATTTTTAGGGGATGAAATTTATATTGGGGGGATAAAATGGCTATTTATCTATCTGAATTGATAAGAATATTTGTTTCTAGTGTTTTAGATTGAAAGATATTGAAGAATTGGTAAAAAATCGTAAAAAATTCTCGAAAAACACAAAAAATTTGATATTTTTTATAATTTTATAGCAAAATTAATAATTTTAAGGGATGTTAAATAATTCTATGAGAAAGAGACACTCTTTGGCTATCAAACTGAAGAAAAAAAACTAACACAACCCTTATATTACAAAAGTTATAGCAATTTTACTAACAAAATGCAAATAAACTTCAAAAAATGACAAAAACAAACTTCAACCCTTATTTAAAGGCGAATTTTAAACTTTCCCAAATAAAACTTATTAATATTCCACAAAACAACTCTTTCTTAATAAACCAAAAAAAGAAAAATGAAAATCGCCCCCATGGATCCCAAGATATTCATGATTTATTATCAAGAAAAACGAAATCAATTTAAAAAGCACATTTATCGTATATCACCCACTTACAGCAAGTCCAAACAAAGATTGATTTATTTTTAAACAAGCGCTAGTCACTTAAGTCAAAGAATGTAAATGTCGCTGCACAAATTGATTTCTCATGCAAATTTCGCATCTCATCAGAAAGCGATATTCCAGCACGCGATATTCCAGTGACGGATGACGAAGGGTACGATTTTTTGACAGCTCCGCGCGCAAAACGGATACAACTGATACAATCTCGCAAGTCTCTCGCGAGCAATGAAGAGTAAGTGAACAAGATGGCTGCCATATTGCATCCATATTGCTATATTTTGATTTATCACCACTTCTAGACTTGTCACTCTGCTGTTAAACTTTCAACATTGAGTGCAGTTTAACCCATGACACAGCAAAAATTTAATTTCACATTTATGCAACCAAATATACTCGCAATAAAAAAATGTTTTCAAAATGAGATTTGAAATGCAAATAAGTGTTGGCAGCGAATAAAAGGGTTTGTTGAATTCATAAGCGTCGTTTTAGCGCCTTCGCGGACGTGTCCCGCGTGTAAAACACGCTGGAAACGAAGAAGTTACATTTAGAAGAAAAGCACGTAGCACTTTTCTTACATTCTCTCAACATTTACTTAGATAGGCAACTCGACACACTCGCAACACACAGGCGTAAAGTTAATAAGTTTGCCTACGTTAATAATTTAATTATAAATTAATGTTTTTGCGGAAATCAATTCGACGGAAAATATATTGGAGTATATAGTGTGTGCGTGTGTTGTTAAGGATGAGACTTGATGGATTTTCCGGCCGGTTTGGCGCGTGTTGATAGATAAAATATTGACAGATATCGGAGTCATCGCTCTGATAGATGGATTACACACTATGGCAATACACAACGCACAGAATATACTTTTATAGTAAATAATATTATTTTGTTATTGATTTTAGATTTTTTGAATTTTTTTGAAGGTTAAGACTTGTAATGTTAAGTTTTAGGTTATAATAGTAATAAATATAGGTTATGAGTGTGTGTGTAGTTGCCTAAGTTGTTTTTTCTAAAATTATCCTAAAATACAGGGTGTTTCATGCAGTAAACTCAAAAAATTGTACTAAATCGCAATTTTTAAGCGCTTTTTCATGTTTTTTGATCGTTTTTTTAGGTTAAGTTAATAATAATAATCTAAACTATCATATTTTGTTTAAAAATGTAACCTAACATTATTATTTCCTACTTAAAACCTAAAATATAGCATTTTTCGTATTTTTTGACTTCCAACATTCATAATCCTAACTTCTGAGCGATAATACTTCTAATTTAAGGTTATGAGTGTTTGCAACTTTGCCTAGATTGTTTTCCCAACCATGTCACGAGTTATAACCCTGTTACAGTCATCAATAAGCAGAAAAAGCAAGTGTGAAGAGATTGAAAGATGACTTTCACAAACTTACGACTTTCAGTCATAAATTTCCTTATAATATTCACAAAAACATAAAACACACTGTATATATAAATATAATTCGTCCAGTCTGCATCCATTTGCATAAACATGTCGAGTTCACTCTCCACGCACCCTACACGTATGAGTATAACACGTTAAACGTAAAGTGTGTTGCCTAACATCCAACATGTCCTATACTTCACCGCAGTGTCACGTGTACCCAGCTAACAATGAACAATGGCGTAAAGTAAATATAAGTAACAGTCCGCATACACATAATACACATTATACACACCCCGCCATTTTTTAAATATAATAAATATTATTCATATACGAATACATTTATTAGGTTTAAGTATTCGTACTTTGTGTATTTTGTATTTCGTGTGTTTTTGTTTTATGTCTGTCATTGCTGTCACGAACGCGCACGATCGTAAATCATCGACGCACTCAAGCGCGCACGACCTCTGGTGCACTGAACTTGAAGTATACTTCTACGCGTATCTCAAAAGTCGTTAACGTTTTTTCTCCCCAGCGCAACTCTTTAGTTTTTACCTACACTTTATTATATCTAAGTTTATTCAGTTATTCAATGGAATATTTATCATAAAATTAAAATATTTTAAATTTTAAATATATATATACAGTGTGTTTTTTACTTTTAGGGAAAATAAAGTTTTGTGTAGTGTATGTTGGGTTGCAGGTTATTTTTCACGCTGCGGCGTGACAGGATAAAAAATCGCCCGCAAACAAGCACGATGACGTTAAGACGCTGCCCGCCATCTTGTGATGTATGCGATCTGTCGCTTTATAAACATCGGCGACGGCATCATTACTTTTACGCGCCGACTCATTTGTCAGCGGGCGGCGTTCATCCGCTTTTAAATTATCCTCGCCCGTCACCTAAAACCTCCGAAATTCGCGGAGTGACAAATACGACGTGGAACGACTGCATGCGGTAAAAGTCTCATACGCACATAACCACATTATATACCAAGTGTTAAATATTCACCCAAAAAAACAACAAAAATATATAAATAGAATAAAATCACTGACCTTCTCAACAGATTGTCCACCGTAGTCATCCGGACTGGCGATTGTGTTGCATCCGGCTTTGCGCAGGCGCAGCTTGTTTACGTGGAACGCTGAGCCGTAGCAGTACATCAGGATCATTGTGGTTGGAAAGTAGAAACCGCACGCGGCGAGGATACGCAGCGACGCCTGCGCGTAGAACGGCTCGCAGGCACTCATACCAGTCGGGTTGAAATAAAATCCGCCTCGTGGCAGCACCAGGATGGCGAATAGTGTCACTGACATTATCCATGTCATGCTTATTATTGCCACACAACCCTGAAACAAATTTTACATATATAATCATTGTATGCAACCAGATATCCCTACTAATATTATAAATGCGAAAGTCCTGATGTTTGTTACACTTTCACGCAAAAACTACTTAACCGATCATCATGAAAATTTGTACACATATTCTTAGTGGTCCCCGAATGGTTATAGGCTACTTTTTATTTAATAAAAAAATTATTTTTTAAATAAAATAAAGAAATTGTTTAGCTAATAATACCTTTGCATCTGGCTATTTGACTACTTTAACGTCATCTAGCATTCCAGCAATGAAGCTCAAACCTAAGTACTATAGTACCATCACACTGTATTATCACACTGTATTACCGACAGCTACGTCAACATCAAATCCAATTGACTACACTATGGAGACTGTACACTATACTTCCATAGACTATACTTTCAGCCATTTTAAACTTCCCGCCATTCAACTTCATTGTTACTTCTTCTGTGACTACAGACGCGTACGGAAGCAACTTCATTCTTTTAGATAATCGCGAGCGAAGCCGCGGGTTAAAGCTAGTACTACATAAATGTACATTAAGTTGCATATATTAACACAAAATGCAAGTTTAACTACTAAAAATCTATTTTTACGTTTTATAAGCGTGAAAATTAATTTAAAAAAATTATAAACACAAATAAACATCAATTATTTTTTTCCCTGCGTGTTCATTTTTGTTTTCCCTTTCAACATCCATCATCCCGAGTCAAACTCACTTTCAATTCGCTTCACATCGCATAAACGACGCATGTGATTTCGTTTTTACTCACAATCAACCCTTTCGTTTCACAACCCCTTTTGACAGTTATTTTTTGGTGGACAAAACATGACCAGACGTTAACTGATTCATATAAATTTTTAAAACCACAAAAAATATACAGAGTGTTTAAATAATTAAATTATTTTATCTAAAATTGAATTAATTGGTTTGTAAAGTGGTTTCACTTGTTTTTGTTGCTTTTACTCGTACCACCAGATATAAGTTTAAGTTAAAGTGGAAGTTTAAGACTCTTTGCAGTTAAAGTTTCGGCCCACAACTTAAGTTGCGAGTTAAACTGTTTCGTAGTACTCGTGGGCGTCGCGAGCAGACCTCTCCGCGGTTGGGGTGCAGTGCAAATTAACCGTTTAAGCATTTTCGGCAAAGATTAATCGATTTCGAATTAATACGCGGCAAACAACTTGCAAACGTGCAACTTGCAAACTACTAAATATTGCAAATCTTTGCAATTATACTAGAAGTAATAAACTTTGGGTTTATTACGCGCTAATTATTAGAAAAACAAGATTTGATGTTAATTTTTTGGGATATTTAATATCCTGTAGACGCGTATAAATAATAAAGTTATTTCTTGCGCTTGGAAAGCAATTAAAGTTTCGAGTTCGGGGATAATTATCAAATATAATTACTGGAATACCTAGTAGCAATCAAAGTCGGACTCAACTTTCGGTAATTAAATTTAGTTTTGATGTGGTAATTGATTAAGAATGAGATATTTTGTTACTTTTTAATGTAAGACCGGATTTTTTGTTTAAAATTTAAAGAAAAATCGGTTTTAAAAGATATTTAAATTTAGAATTTTACTCAAAAATTATTAAAAATTATTTAAAATTTTATGAAAACCGGTTTTTGTTATAAAATACCGGTTTTTTTCAATAAAATTTTATCAAAAACCGGTTTTTAAATAGTTTAAAATTTTAAAAATTATAATTTACTAAAAATGATGCTAAAATAATTCAAGATTTTTTAGAAAACCGGTTTTTATTTTTCATAATACCGGTTTTTATTAAAAATACCGGTATTTATGTCCATATGCAGAATTTTCCATAAATCTTGAGCAAGTAATATTTTATGAGACATAAAATATTTAATTGAACATCCATATTTGCGCAACAAGCATAGTAGTATAACCAAAACCGGAAATAATAAATTACGACTACAAGGACTCACATAACGCCATTGTTTTGTTTGAATTAGAACATAACAATCTTAAACAGACCCACTCTACACATACACTACAATTGTACTCGTACGCTGTGCATTTGATTCAGGACAAATTCATGTTGCTGCACTCGTCCTGTTTAGTATTCCACTAGCGCGCGGCCATTTTGTAATTACGTCCCACACAGCGCATAAACTTGTATAGGTGTCTTTTATTCTATTTATTTCATCGTATTCCACATTTTATGTGCAGCGTTTGAGGTTATGTGTTATGTGTTATGTGTTATGGGTTACTGTTACACTGTAGGGTAACTTCGGCAGTAAGACAAAAGTAATAAAACAATAAAACAATAAAGCAATATGTGAGGGAGGAGAATTTGAATTTGCATATAGGAGTGCAGCATATAGAAAACGTGATAAATTCGTTTCTATTCAGCTTTCGGAACAATTGCGCACCACTTTATACTGACTAAACGCTGAAAGTTACAAAAATGTTTATTTTGTAGTTATAAAAAGAAATTTGATTGATTTATTAAGTAGAATTTTTGTATTTTTAAAATATATTTAAATTTTGAATTATTTTTGGTTTGTTTAAACTCAATTTTGATTTTTTTTGTGTTTCTATCAAAGAAATCTTAATAAAACTTAAATCAAAATCATTTTTCCTAAATTTTTGAAAATTATCAATTTTTAATGAAAAAAATTGCCAAAAACAGCGCATCTATTAAAAATATCTATTTTTTAGTTTTAAAAATAATCTAAATATTGATTTATGAGAAATAATATTTATGTTATTTTTATAAATTTGAATTTTAATTATTTTCCGCTTTGTTTACATTCTATTTTAATTTTTTCCGCAGTATTTTTATCGCGGCAAAAACGTGCCTTTTAGCTTTTCAGCGCCTGGACCTATTAATGTCAACCAACATTTGAGCGTGGCTTAAAATGCAAATATCAAAATATCATAAAATATAGAGTCAGGAGAACCTGAAACCTCCAGAAGCCACCACAATATCAAAATAATACTAAAAGCACTTGAGGGCTTTCAAAATTCAATGTCAGCACAGATAATTTCATATTAAATACATTATCTGACATTAAACAATTTAAAAATGGCATAAATATTATAAATACTAATTTATTATTATTTTTGTTATAAGATGTTCATTATATTGTGTGGTATTGCGTTTCATTTTTTCATTTTTATACATTGAGAACAAGAAAAGCTCTCAATTCTTTTCGCAATTTTATTTCTGCTACACCGGAAAGCCGGAAATTGGCGATTAGTATTATATGACTCTCTTTATTCTTCTTTAAACAATAAAATGAAATAAAATAAAATGACACATACAAACTGTACCAATTGATTTTATTTTATTTTTATTTTTTATTTTTTATTGTAAAAGTTTACTATGTGATGGAATGTGAACGTAAACTGTGAGATCGTGAGAGTATTTCCGGCAGCGTGCTGCAGGATTACAAGGATTAATGAACCGATGCAATCGAATAAATCTTATTGTTGCGTGTTTACGGCCGAAAAATAAATAGAAGCGGAGAGAGTTCAAACCAGACAATGCGATTGAATTTAAACTTTCATGATGACAATCAACTACATGTACTACCAAGCTAGAAATAGTTATAGTAGTAGTAATACTAATAGAAAGTTTATTGAAGTGGAATTAATTTTATTTATTATTTAATTAGAGATTAAAGTTTTAAATTAAAAAAAAAGAAGAATACACACTGTATGCTTTAAAGTAATTGCACGTGTACGCGCACGTGCGCTCGTTCACGCTCGGTTTGAGATGATTGCCTCAATCGGAAGGAAACGGGGAAAATCATTAATGAAACTAACTTTGAAGTGTAAAAAACAAAATTAATTGAAGAAAATTCCAGTTTTTGGAAATTTTAAAACAACATTTTTCAAAAATCTTTGAAAATTTATTGAAATATTTGAAATTTTTTCTCATTTTCTCATTCTCTTTTGAAAAGTCTTTAAAAATCTATAAAAATCTTTTAAAAAAATTTGAAAAATACATATTTTTCCTTGTTTTTGTAATAAAATATTAATTTCTCTATCAAATATATTTGAAAATCCTCAAAAATGTATGAAAATCACTATTTTTGTCACATAAATTGTTTTTTATTTTAAATTTTATTCTAATATCCGGTTTCTCAATATTATAGATAATTTATTATAAAAATATGAAGATTTCTTTGTGATTTAATAAGGAAATTTGAAAATATAAAAGCACAAAATACCAAACTCAATATTGAAAACAAGGTGAGAATCCCAGTAACAAAATAAACAACCCGGGAAACTCGGAAAATGTCGCAAAACTCACATGGGAATCTGGGCCAGCAGGAAATAAAACGATTTCTACGATTCTACATTGCAATACCAAAAGGGATGCAATAAAATCAAATCAAATAAAAGTTTTCGCAATTTTTTCCCAAATTCTTACAATATTGCTACGATTCTGCTTATATTATATACATATTTTTCTCCACTAGATGGCGCAATACTTCCACATAACCCTACTATAACTTTTAAGATGTAATTATTCCTTAAATTAAAGCAATTTAAATGTAGACATTATAATTATGTGATTATGACTATGAGACGTGTGCTTGAGATGATCAAGAGTTTAATTCAACTCGACATCGAATTGAGTCGAGTAGGTACACACGAGACCACGACTCAAGGGTCTACTACACAAAGAGACGCAAAGAGGATAAAGTCCTCGCTTTCCACCACCTCAATCGCCTCCGACAACTTGAACTCAACTCAAACACCTTTCTTTTTCAAGTGTAAAGGAAGGTGTAATATTATACTCATTAAATATAATTTAATACAATAAAAATAGGTTTGATGTTGGGTTATGCTGGATCATGTCTTGAATAGGCAACCCATTATTCATATTTACATAGTTTATTAATCTTTTATGTTAAAAATATTAAAAAAACCGGTAATTTTCAATAAATTAAAAAAAAATTCTTGTTTTTCGTGGTTTTGAGACACAAAAGGTGATACTTAAAGCACGGGCGACCAAAACCGTGACTAAAGTACTTTACTCACGGGTTTTAGTCACGAGGAGGAGCTTGCTACTCACGCTTTTAATCAATCTAAACAAAAACTCACTTTTTCCACTTGATACCTAATATACGATTAATAAATGCCGGTTTTTGTAAAAATTTATAGTTAAAATAGTATTCTATTGTTTGTTTTTAAAATAAATGTCGTTGATATGTGTTTTGTGCATGTTGTGATGTCACTTGCATTCGCAATATTTTTATTTTTAATTTTTCCATTTTCATTCTGTCGGCATGTCTGCAGTGTGCTCCGGTTATTTCATTAGTTAGTTTTGGAGCAAACCGGCTAAAAATAGACTGACAGTGCAGTATAATACATCCGACATTAACCACTCTACCACTCCACTCCGCCATGCTACCCCTTCGGAAAATAGAACAACATGATTCGCAACTCGGTTGTGAGCGTTGCATAAATTGAAGTCTATATTTAGACTGTTGACTTTATCATGAATATCATCATTATTTTATTTTTATAGAGATTTATTTAATTTTATTTCATTTTATTCAGTTTTATTTGAATAGCATCAAAGAATATGATTTTTCCGGTTTTATTTTATTTTGTGTGTGTTATGAGAGCTGTTTTTTAATAAAATATGTATAAGTAAGGATATTATAAGTAGTTTTAAGTACACTTACACTTTAAGAGATGTTTTGCTTATGCAGTGCTTAATTTCATTAACATTTACATGAAAGATGAAAGATTTTGATGCGTTTGTGCAAGTGCTCGTGCATATTCTACAGTGAAATTCTGTTGAGTGCTGCATACACTTCAGTTATTTTAATACGTATAAAATATTTATTTTCATTTTATAAGGTTGCGTAATAAATAATAGATGTGATTTTGTGTCCCAGATATATTTCTTTTCTATCTCTTTTAGTTTACGAGATACTCGCAATTGAAAACATTGAGCACAAAACAAAAAATTGTAGTTTTTAGAATTTAGATCCGCATTTTTGAGCAGTAGAAGTGACTCGTATTCAGGGCACCGTACCAGGGTAGCGGTAGAAGTGACTCGTATTCAGGGCACCGTACAAAGGTAGCGGTAGAAGTGACTCGTGTTCAAGGCACCGTATGAGTGTAGCAGTATAAGAGGCTCGTATTCAGGGTACCGTACAAGGGCAGCGGTAAAAGTGACTCGTGTTCAAGGCACCGTACCATCGTAGCGGTAGAAGTGACCCATGTTTAGGACACCGTACGTGGACGAATGTATAGCTAACTCTCATTTAACCCTATTTTTAAAATACCCAATTTAACCAGCTTATCTTATAGAAAACTTCTCGTAGATTAAAAATATCAAGAACCCCCCCTTGGCAATTTTTTCTTAAGGATGAAAATTTAATCTTTTAGATTTCCGTTTTAACTAGTCTATCTTATACAGAATAGTTCGTAGATTAGTCTCTGCGGTTTGTACCTATGTATCGCTTTTAGTTTACGAGATATTCGCGATTGAATAAAATGGGCAAAAATTGACAAATGTCACATTTTAGCACTTTTAGTGGCGTTTTTTGATCTTTTACTCTAGGAAATATAACTATTTTATATTTTTATCTGATAGAGAATTTTCCACTCTATCATAATCAGCAATTTGTGGGTTCCTATCGCTTTTAGTTTAAGAGATATGAATTATCAAAAATCGTCGAAAAAAAGTATCAAGCACCCCCCCTTGGCAATTTTTTTCTTAAGAATGAAAATTTCATCTCTCAGATTTCCGTTTTAACTAGCCTATCTTATAGAGAATAGTTTGTAGATTAAGACGCTTCGATCGGATCTTAATTATCTCTTTTAGTTTACGAGATATTCGCGATTGAATAAAATGGCCAGAAATTGACAAATGTCACTTTTTAGCACTTTTAGTCGCGTTTTTGGTCTTTTACTCTAGGAAATATAATTATTTTATATTTTTATCTGATAGAGAATTTTCCACTCTATCATAATCAGCAATTTGTTGGTTCCTATCGCCTTTAGTTTAAGAGATATGAATTATCAATTGGCAATTTTTTCTTAAGAATAAAAATTTCATCTCTCAGATTTCCGCTTTAACTAGCCTATCTTATAAAGAATAGTCCATAAAATAGTCTCTGCGATTTGTACCTATGTATCTCTTTTAGTTTACGAGATAATCACTACCAAACTTTAAAAACTAATCAATATTTCATCTCAAAACCCAAAATTCTGATTAAAACTGATTTAAATAATTCCGCATGTTCTAAACTTCTTTCAAAAACCTATTCTTTCTTGTGCATTGTCCTAATAAAACCTCTTTCTCAATGGAAAGAAAGTCAGCAATAAACGGATGCTGATGCTACGCATATGTACCATAAGCTAAACGCTGAACTGCCGAAAATTGCCGCCGCCATTTCCATAGAATAAACCCTTAGACCTTAAAACCCGCCAACATAAAAACTGCATAAAATCGTCAAATGTCAATTCGTCGAATCATCGCATTCGTAGTAAACGCAAACGTGCACGACGTGACTATTTCGACAATGCTTGCAAAGAAAGAAAAAGAAACTCAAATAAGAAAGCAGCACGCCGCGCAAAAGTAACAGAAAAGAAAAGCGGAGAAACGGAATGCGAAAAGTACGAGTAAATGACATCACAATTTCGCAATTTACGAGAAGAACTCCACGGCTCAAAAGCAGTTAGATATTAAAATTTAAAGCGTTTCATTTGTCTGTTTGTTTGTTTGTTTTCATAATTTATTTATGATTTAACCCGCTGCTCTCCAGAATAATCAAACATCTCAAGGAGATAAAGATAAATAGATACTACAGGCGTATTTACCGACGAAATGAATTACAAATTACGAATTACGAGATGAAGAATGGGGAAAACCGGAAAATGAAACGAATGTTGAATTTCAAGTGTTCAATAACAAACAATAAAAAATAAAAAATTCAACCAAAAAATGAAGATAGAAACGAAAGAAATTAATATTCATTAATTAATAAAATCATTTATCATCATTAATTACGAAAAATGAGTTTAATTATAATTAATTCATACTTTCTCAATTTCTTTTTCTAATTTTTTCGAAAATTTTAATATTTTTGATGTTTTTTCTCATTTATTTTAACCCCCTGTATATATTTAATGATAAAAATATATTCTTACCTTTTTACTGGAGTGTTTATGATATCTGGCTGGATGTAGCATGCAGAGATAACGATCCATGGCCATACAAATCAAAATAACCGCCGATTGTTGACTGATTGCGCCTCGCAGTAATGCCTGCAACAGAATTAAACTAAATTTCACACACAGCGAAAGTAACAAGCAATTTATATGCATTGCATTTCTCGTACATCACACTATCACCCTCGCGCGGCCGTTATCGCGTGCCATCATTTAATTAAACTACAAATCCCACAATTATGTCGCGGTGCTCATATCACACGTTAACATCTTCCAACGTCAGCATCTTAATTCATCATTTATTTTTTCTACGAAAATATTATTTATGATTAAGAAAAAATTTAAAGTTTAATACCGGTATTTCGGTTAACCGGTATTTTTTAAAATTAAAATATTGGAATACCGGTTTTTCTAAGTAAATTTTTTGTACAATGAAACAAAAATTAATCCTTTTTTTAATTCCCTGCAGCCCGGAGGAACGTGAGCGTAATTTTATATAATTAAACCGGCTACACTCAATTAAATCCAGAAACGCGTTACTTTCCAGCGGTGCTGCCGGTGCGGCTGGTTGCCTAACGACCGCAGGGCTAACGATTTCAAAAATCTTTCCACTTTCTTTCCGCGGTTTTAAAACATTCGCGCAATCAAGTTTCTATTCAACCAAACTCTAACCTAATTGAAATCTAGGCAACCAAATGTACATTAAATAACATTGCGTAATATCACACCGAACATGTGTTTGATTAGCGCGTGATATTGGACAATAAATGTGGTTGTAGCTGAGGTCATTATTGAGGTTACGCACAATTTCGCCAGAGCTTTGAGCGCGTTTCCAATGCTTTGAAGCTCGAAAGCCATCCGATGTAAGCTTTGGCCAACGACCAAAATCGATAGCGCAAAGCACATAAACCCGATAGATTATCCAAACTATATTAAGATCATATATATTACATACTAGCTTTAACCCGTGGCTTCCGCTCGCGAATATCTAAAATAATGAAGTTGCTTCCGAACGCGTCTGTAGTCACAGAAGAAGTAACAATGAAGTAGAATGGCGGGAAGTTTAAAATGGCTGAAAGTATAGTCTATGGAAGAATAGTGTACAGTCTCCATAGTGTAGTCAATTGGATTTGATGTTGACGTAGCTGTCGGTAATTCAGTGTGATAATACATTGTGATGGTACTATAGTACTTAGGTTTGAGCTTCATTGCTGGAATGCTAGATGGCGTTAAAGTAGTCAAATAGCCAGATGCAGAGGTATTATTGGCTAAACAATTTCTTTATTTTATTTAAAAAATAATTTTTTTATTAAATAAAAATTTTCATGATGATCGGTTAAGTAGTTTTTGCGTCAAAGTGTAACAAACATCAGGACTTTCGCATTTATAATATTAGTAGGGATTACAACATAACCTATACGAAAATTGTTTTTAAGCAAAAAAAAAATAAAAAATGTATGCGGGGAAAAAGTTTTGTGTTTGAAAAGCTCTTGAAATAACTTGAAGAAATTCGCGATAAGTTAAACGTGAGCGCGTGTAGAAGAAAATTAGAAGAAGTTGTAATCAAGATTCAAGAAGATAGAAGACGAGAGCAAAGCGAAGAGCAAACCTCACGTTTTTTTCATAAATCAACGTCACCTTTAGGACTTAGCGGCTTGAAATGAAGAACTTCGCGTAAAAGTGAAAAAAAAAAGAACACAAAATGGCGTAAATGAGTCATTTTAGATTGAATCCTAACCTAACTTCAACTTGTGTGTATCCAGTTTGATGTATCAGTACGAGTAAGTAATATGATCGCTACGTAAATATCGGTTTACTAATTATAAACATTTCTCAACCTCGCCAACCACACGGAATTCAAACTTTATGCAACCATATATACATGTAAAAATATATATAAAATGTGGTTAGGTTTTGAGACAAAGTTTAAATCATGAAAATTATGAAAATTACACGCACGTTGTGCGCATTTTGAAGTGTTTGATGCATAATTACACGTTTTGTGCATTTAGTTGTGTGACTCAAACGCGACAAGTTTGCAACTGGAATTTTGCGCCTTTCATCCGCTGTGTGTCGGTAAGTTAGGGATGCTTCAGAGCGTTTTTGCGCTCGCATAATTCACGCCGCTAAATAGATTATACTCGCGTACGGAGTGCAGCTGCTGAACTCATTGTTTCACTGGTTTACTGCTGCACAAGTAGTAAACTACTTTTGTTCGAATTATGATTTGAGGAAAATTTCAGCGTACACAAGTCGTAAACTGCAGTTATTATAACTTTTCATTTAAAGTTTGTAATGGGGGTGTGAAATACCGGTTTTAATATCGGTTAACCGGTATTTTTTGTTTGAAATACCGATATTTCTACATAAAAGAGTAAAAAAAAGCAATATTTAAAAAATACCGGCATACTGAAGTACCGGTATCAATATACCGGCATTTTTGCTTTAAAAACCGGTATTTTCATTTTAAAACACCAAAAAATGCCTATGCACCAAAATACCGGTATTAAACTCAAATTTCCCATCCCCAAGAGTTACTCTTAGGTTATCCACGCAATAATGCACTTTAGGTTGCATACAATCGTAATATGAAATTAATACGATATGCAAATCTAATCGTAGTGGCTATTATTGCGCAATCAAATCAAAATGCACAATACTCACCTGAATTTGACAGACGAGCTCGCCGTACGGCCAGCAGCCGCGCAGCGAAGGCACGATGGCGAACGGCGTGACGAACAGCCCCATCGCCAAGTCGTTGCTCGCCAGCGACGTCAACAAGTATCGCGGCTGTCGACATCGAACACAACGCAAATCGTTAACAAAACCCGCAAATCGATTAATCACGAGTGCATGCAGAAAATATGCAAGCACAACTACGAGTACTACACTCTAAACAAGTCTAAAATGAAACTGTTGCAATCGATCGTGCTAAACTCGACTGGACAATCGCGAATCACGCGATAAGAGTGACTTGCAAAACAACAAAACAAAAGATACGCACTATGCGCATCGATTCACGAAGATGCACGATCGATATTAGGAATTGTAATGCTTAGTTAACACTTATTCTAACCCGAGTCGTGCAGTCGTGCAACATCGCGCGATGACTTGCATATTAACAAGTTCAGTGGTGAGTATCACTGTGACAAACTTTAACCTTTCACTTTTAGTAGACAAACGTATAATATTCGCGACTGACAAAACAAAAGATACGATGATACACGATCGTGATTCGGATGACAACAAAGCTACCACTACACTTATTCCAACCCGAATACATAATCGTGCATCATCGAGCGTTGAGTGTCACCCAGTGATGCCACCACTGATCCCACCCCTTAAACTTTCACTTATACAACCCAACATACACCAAAACACAAAACACACTAAATACAAGTTATTTTACCTGTGAATGTATATATTTCGAATATCGCCGACTGTTGATAACCAATATAAGCAGTAAATTCGCCAGTAGTACACCAAGCGTAATCAGGAACACGATCAACCCTTGTACGAACTCCGCAGGGCCCAATCCCGCAATCAAACCGACATTATGATAGCGCGGATGCGTGCAACTGCTGTTCTGCAAAGCGGGCGCTACCAAGATGGTCGTCTTGTGATGCATAGCGCCTGCGTAAGTACCCTACCACCTTCTTTTTACTTCTTTTCTTATCAAATATTAAATATTAATAAAAACAAATGCTATCTTAACAATCTCACACTTATCGCGCACATCACTTTCGTATCACCGCTTCTTACGTGTGCTTATTTCAATTGCTATCTGAAACATGGAATAATCCAATATTAATCGTGCATAGATTATGATTATCGCGGTAATTACCTGTAAGTGCTTAATTGTGGATGCATGTCGTGCTGGCGGTGCTGGTGGTGCATTTTAATCGGCAGGTGTGAATTGGGTTGCAGCCAAGGGCAGTAAATTGAGGTTATAATCAATTATTTCAATTATAACCTCAATTGTGACATTTTTGGAGGTTATATTCATCTGGAATCAAAATTTAGACATTAATTTAACATAAATCCGCCATTTTGCTATTAAAACTGTCAGAAAACTCAATTATTTCAATTATAACGTCAATAGTGACGTTTTTGTAGGTTATATTCATCTGGAAATGAAATATTTAACATTAGGTAAACATAATCCGCCATTTTGTTACTAAAATAGCAAAAAAAAACTCAATTATCTCTATTATAACCTCAAAAATTAATTTTTTAAGGTTAGGTTAGGTATATTCTTCTAGAAATAATATTTTAACATGATTTCAACATAAATTCGCCATTTTGTTATTAAAACTGTCAAAAAACTCAATAATTTCAAATATAACCTCAATACTAAAGTTTTTTGATGTTAAATTAGGTTTATTCATCTCGAAATTGAATATTTAACAGCATTTCAATATAAATCCGCCATTTTGTTGTTAAAAATGTCAAAAACACTCAATTATTTCAATTATAACCTCAAAAATTATTTTTTTAGGGTTAGATTAGGTTTATTCTTCTAGAAATAATATTTTAACATGATTTCAACATAAATTCACCATTTTGTTATTAAAACTGTCAAAAAAACTCAATTATATCAAATATAACCTCAATAATTAATATTTTTGAGGTTAGGTTAGGTTTATTCATCTGAAAATGCAATATTATCATTATTTTGATATAAATCCGCCATTTTGATTTTTAAAATCATTAAAAAAACACAATTTTTCCACTTTTAACCTCAATAATCAACTTTTTCGAGGTTATGTTAACTTTTTCCATCTATAAACCTAATATTCCCCATAATATCCACCATTTTGATTTTTAAAATCATTCAAAAAACTCAAATATGTCAATTATAACCTCAATAATCAACTTTTTTGAGGTTATGTTAACTTTTCTCACTTGTAAACCTAATATTCACCATAATATCCGCCATTTTGTATTTTCTTCAATTTAAATCTAATATTATTGTATTTATAAACACGGATACCGTTAAGATTCCCTCTTTAATATCCTCCGCGTCCTGTTTACCCAACGTCCGCCATCTTGTCTCACTTCCTCCCGCACTGGTTAAGCACGTGACGTGGCGCGGTGCGATTACGATTAGATGAACGCATAGGGACAACAAAACCGTTTAAGACTATAGTTGGGATACAGTTACGCATCCTGAAGGACGCCGAGGACCGCCGCCATTAATTTCGCCGCGAAATTGCTTCCATTAACATAACATCAAACATAAACAACAATTATAGCAAATTAAACGCACTCAGAGTGCGTACGCGGTTTAATACTGTGCGGTTTAATATAGGCAACCAAATTTACACTTTTGTGTTATATATGGGTATAAATGTATTGTGGTGTAGTGTGGTGTGGTGAGGTTATGTTTGTTTGTTTGTTTTGTGAGTATTTTATTTCTTTCAGCGTGGAATTAACTGTTTGTTGTTTTATTGCGTGTAAAATATGCAAATATGCAAATGCACGTGTAGAGGGAATAAAAGAATATGTTATGGATTGTTTACATGTGTTGAGAGGATGTAAAAAAATTTAAAATAGGGGTTAAATCATGGTTAATCCTGAAAATAAACTGGAAAATGGAATAAAACAAGAGATTTTTTGTAGTAATTATTGAATAACTCATAAATGAATAGAGATAAATTATTAATTCTTGCAGCAATTGATTTTCTGATAAATTCTTTATCTAATTATCTTTAAATTTTGTATTTATCAGTTTTATATACCGAGTAATCACAAAAAAACTAAATTTTTGAAAAGTAAAATTTTTTTATACAACAAATGATTTTTGTTACTAATTGTTATATAACTCATAAACAAATAAAGATACATTAATAATTCTTTTAACAATTGATTCTCTGATAAATTCTTAATATAATTTCCTTTAATTTCTATATTTATCATTGTTATATACAGAGTAATCATGAAAAAACCTAAATTTTTGAAAAGTAAAATTTTTTTATACAATAAATAATTTTTGTTACTAATTATTAAATAACTCATAAACAAATAAAGATAAATAATTAATTCTTTCAACAGTTGATTCTCTAATAAATTCTTAATCTAATTATCTTTAAATTTTATATTTATCATTGTTATATACAGAGTAATACAAAATAAATTTTGATAATTTAAATTCATTTCTGTGTTTTATATCCTCAGAATCCTTTCAAATTGAAAATCTATACTTCCAGATTGTCGTAATGACGATAAAAGGTGACTAGAGGGTTGAGGGTGAATCAAGGGTGAATATTAGCAAAGGGTCGCCGTTATTTGAACCGCTGGTGTCACAATTTTAATCAGATTTCTGTTTTTGATTGAGTACCACCATTCTAATTCTTAATAAATTAATTTCAATCATTAATTACTTAATAATAAGCTCAAAAAAATCAATAATATTAAAATTTACCACCAAAAACAACTTGTAACAAAAACCGGTTAACCGGTATTTAATTTTTTCCAATACCGGTATACCGAAAAACCGGTATTAATATTAAAATACCAATATATTCTTAACTACTAATATTTTTCAATACAATATTACTTCCAATAAATACCGGTTAACCGGTTTTTTAATACCGGTATACCAAAAAACCGGTATTAAACCCAAAACTCCAATTTCTCTTAACCAAACAATTTTGTTAAATATATTATGTTACCGTACTATCCCTACATGTATCCGCCATCTTGAAAATATACAACCCAACATACTATAATGTCTATAATGGCGTCTAAATAGTAATTCGAACAAACAATCTCCGCATCACGACAATATCCAGTCTACCACGCTTTGTTTGTACGCTGTATTTATATTTCCACCAACCTTACAGTCACAGCATTCACTATTCTCCTACTCTTATGTGTATGTGTGTTGCTTTGGTTGCCTACATTGCACTACACTCCACCATTAAGTATGATATGTGCTTTATTTGCTATTTGCACGTTCCTTGAAAGCGCATGAATAGCTCGCGATGTAATGCAATGCAATAACACACAATACTGATAACAAAATTTACCATACTTTATATACGTTTATATTATATCATGGAGTGAATAATGTTTAGTATTTTTATTATGTTCTTCGTCTTGTTTAGTATTGTTGTGTGTTTGTGGATTATTATGAATGTATTATGAAAGAGGATTCGCGCATTAGCAGCGCATTATGTCGTTACTGCTTTATCGCGTTTACGAATTTATGTGTACGCTTGCCGCCGCCACTGCCGCCGCTCGCCGCCGTTTTGTACCAATAAATCTCCATTGTGTGTGCAGCCGGCGATGAATGCACTGGCGGGCGTCGAGATTTACTTCGTTATTTGTTTTTGTGCCTAAATCTGATGACGTCACTCACATTGATATGTAATAAGTTGTCTACATTTATAGGTTAGGAGATTATTTTGTAGACACACCCCTTACAACCATATAAACACGTTTTTATTTTGTCTTAACACATTTAGTTGTGAGCTTAGTTTTATTTTGATTTTTATTAGAGGGCAAAAGATTTGGAGGATTGGCGAACCGAAACGCGTCTACAACTCTTGGAAAGAGTGCAGTTTTACGAGGTTTTTTTGCTTTTGTTTCCCAAATGTGCTTCACGATGCTTTTTCGATGATTTTTTCGGAATTCTTTCCACTTGTTCAGCACTTTCACGACTCCTCCTGCACTTTACACATTTGGCACACGTCCTTAATGCTTTTTTTCGATATATCACACGCCAGGCTTTAATTAAACGTGAATTATATGTTTATTTGGTTGTCTATTTGTAAATTGTGTATATTAGGTTGCAAAATTTACCATATTGTATCAATAATTAGAAAAATCGCTATTTTAACCGATATTTTTTCTATTTTTAAAAATTTAAAAAAAAAAATTAGTTATTTGGTTGCACACTTTTCATTAAAAACGTCGTGCAATTAATTTCCTGCCTCAAAATAACATTTCGTTAAAAACCTGTGAAATAACCGGTTATTTTATAACAATACAAGTGAAAACCGATATAATACCGGTAATTTTTACATAAATAATTAAGAAAACCGGTATTTAACCATTTTTTGTTCTTTTTTTTTATTCATAACTAAAAATAATTTAAACGTAAATAATATGTTCATTTAGTTGCCTATTTGTATTTTATGTATATTTGGCTGCATAATTTTCATTAAAAACATTATTCAACCATTTTCCTAACCCAAAATTACTTTTTGTTAAAAACCGGTGTATAAACCGGTTATTTTTATATCAATATTTAAGAAAACCGGTATTTAACCAGTTTTTTGTTCTTTTTTTGAACTTTTTATAATCAAAAATCAATTAAACATAAATAATATGTTCATTTGGTTGCCTATATGTAATTTGTGTACATTTGGTTGCATAATTTCCAATGCATTGTTCGCAGCGATTAAAAACGCCGTGCGATTATTTTCATAACTCAAAATTACGTTACGCGACGAAATAAAAACCGGATTGTTTATGTGCTCGGGATTTTTCGCATTTTCACATCGCGCGCAGGACGAATATCACACAGCGTCGCATCCGCGTGTTGTAATTGATTTTAGAATTACGGGACAATTTAAATAGCGAGCGTTTGCAGTTGAATGAGATCACAAATCATGCGAATGTGAAAACATGCTCTGTTGTCCATGATTTTTCCTTCTCATTTTTCGGTTGTTTATTTGCGCATGCGCGGAGAAGCAGGACACATTTGTTATAATACTATTAATTAAATTATGAATGTAAATTTATGACGATGGTAAAACACATTTATTATCATTATCATTGCTCACATAAATTAAATTTTAAGTTTTTTTAGAGACAAAAATGAAAAATAGGTCATTCAAGGACATAACCTTAATTAATAGCTCAAAAACATCAAATTTCTTCGTTAATTTCAGAAAAAAACTAAAATTTCGTCAAAATTTCTTACAATTGATAAGAAAATTTAGTGATAACGATAATATTATGAAAAAACAAAACAATTTTAAAGTTTTTCCCTTAAAA